TCTGGGGTTTGTTTAGCTTCTATAATTGCAACATTGTTTCTTAGAGTGCAGCTCAGAGCCCAGCAGCAACAGGCGGGGAATCTTGGCTTTCTCCATCGCCAGGGCAACCAAGCCTCCTGTTCGCTTCAGCTGCCTGGCTGCCGGCTGCCATCTTGGTTGGCAGTTAATTTGCATATTGCCCTGATTAGCCAATGGGAAGCGAGTCAATTACTCTATTTGTCTTTTATTAGATTAGATTGCTTGACCTGTTGTTTACTATAGATTAGGAACCAAATTCTACTAAGTTAAGGTAAATTTGTAGATTTTTTAAAAATATATTTTATTGATTTTTTTACAGAGAGGAAGGGAGAGGGATACAGAGTTAGAAACATCGATGAGAGAGAAACATCGATCAGCTGCCTCCTGCACACCCCCTATTGGGAAGTGCCTGCAACCAAGGTACAGGCCTTTGACCGGAATCAAACCTGGGATCCTTCAGTCCACAGGCCGACGCTCTATCCACTGAGCCAAACCAGTTAGGGCTGTAGATTTTTATTCAGTAGAGATAATTTCTGTCCAACAGGATCCAAAGGTTTTACTTCCCTGTAGGACATGAACCAATTTTGTACCTAGTTAACAATTTATTTAAATGTTCTTTCGTTAGTGTCAACATACACTCAATTCCTTAAATGCTTTTGGAATCAGCTTTACCATCCTGCTGTTTCCCTAATAGTGAGTTAAATAAATCTATGACATATGGTCATTCTATATTTGTCTGGGAGGAATGGAGTGGACAAGGAAGAATAAAAGAGCACAGTGATATTCTGACCAACAGGGCTCTATTTTTAATAGTTTTATATTGATATTTAGAGAGAGAGGAAAACAAGAGGGAGAGAGAAACATCTACGTGAGAGCACAACATCAATGGCTGTCTTCTGTATGCACCCCAACAGGGATCAGGCCACAACCCTGGCATGTGCTCTTGATTGGGAATCAAACCAGCAACCTCCTGGTGCACTGGATGACCCTCAACCAACTGAGTCACACATGGCCCAGAGCTCTAACTATTCTTGAGTATGAACGCTTTGAATGTAAAACCCCTTTCCAGTTAGCCAAAGGCCCTACCTTTCTTCAGGGTAACTAACACATTTACATTAATTGCCAGGGCCATCCTAAAAGTATGTGAGTTTTTTACTCAGTTGGGTCCAATTTTGTTATGTTTTTGTAAGCTACATGACAGAAAGGCTAAGAAGGATATCTGCCAAACTGTTAACAATTATTTTAGGCAGGTACATGAGAAAACTGTTTGTGGAGGGAGACTGTTGGCTTTTCATTTG